ATCGGTTAACACGCGACAATTATTCATTCGAACCACGACGTTCCTGTCGTCCGACGATTAGCACCTTTCCATTTCCTGAACGACCGCAATATGTATCCGCGTTCCTCGCAACGACGGAATTGTCCTGCTGAAAGCGGGAAGAAACGGAAGATAAAAGAGTACGTTTGTTCTCGCGATTGTGACGTTGTCGCACAGAACAATATTTCGAACACGGTTTTACCACAAAGGATTCTGTTCGCATATATTCTATTTAATTATCAGATAATGCAAGGGACATAAAAATGTTATTCTAGATATTTAATTTCTAATAATCATTTCTTCTTAATAATCAATTTCTTAATAAATCAAAAGTCAAAATTTTGTCCAAGAAAAGTGAATTTAGTAACGCAATTTATACAATAGGAGAAAAACATTGATTCCGGTATATATAAGTCACTTTTGGTGCTAAACATACTTTTATATTTTTCCGATAAATAATAATAATAATAAAAATAAGTAATATATATATTTCCTAGCTATAATCGTTTTAATAATTAATTATATACTTTTATCAAATACTTTTTTCTCAGTATAATAAAATTTCGTAACACAATTTATACAAGAGAAAGAAATGATAATTTCATCACAAATTATGATCATCTTTAGCATTTATATTTAGCATTTTATATTATCGTTCAAAAGCAAGATAATAAGACAAGAAGATAACAATATACACTGCTGAATAAAATTATTATTAGTATATAAAGTTGTTATTAATAATATTATAGCAGTATTATCAAAATTTGTCTTCTGATTATAAATATTTCATTATATGATTAATAAATTGTGCGATTAATAAATTTAGCAACTATTACAAATATAACAAATCTTTTTATCAGTATAGTAAATATCAAGTTGCCTTCACACGATTATAAAGGAGAACACTGTATTTTACAACCATCAAAATATATTAAGAAAATATTTACCCTTGAAATTATCATAATCATGACGTATTTGTATATATGATGGTATCAGTATTTCACTAACAGTATCGATTTCATCGCTTTTAACTTTCAATAATGTACATAAATGTTGGCCGATTCGGTACTCATTTGTTCACAGAACTTACCACCGAGCTATGTGTGATCGAGCGATGTTGCCATGAATAATGGTATTCATCGATACTGTCGATTCGAGTTCAGGGCACACAAAATATACTCGGTTCCTATATCCTATAATTCTACCATACAAATTCGTAGTATCGATAAAGTCCCTCACATGAATTGTGAGCATTCCTGCACGTCTCTTCCAGCCGACGATGTTTATAAACAATTGTCGACGCAGCGGATAAAATGAAGCACACACGCATTTACATTACGCGATCCCTCCGAGAGGATCTGAGTCATTCGTAATGGAAGCACGAGACCGATTGATCTGTCAGTCGAGCACGACTTCTCGCTCTGTAAGGGTTGTTTCTCGAGTTCTTCGCTGTTCTTATCCTATCGTCGTTTCCGTTTAATGATAAGTGAAGAAAGTGTCTTGCAGTGTGAAGGTAAACGTAATCATATATCGTTACAATTATTTTCGCGGTCTCACGAAGTAATGAAATTGTGAAAAACAAAGTTATTGCATCTTAACGGAAATTATTCCAATATATGCTTTCCAATTATTCATTGCATACTTAGCATCTTAACAAAAATTATTCCGACAATCATTGGAAAAGTAATATTAGAAGAAAAAAAATTCGTCAAATATAGTGTATCTCAAAACAGCTGTAATATAGTGTACAGAACATTAGAGATTGCATCGAAATTGAATTGGAAAATAATGCGTTGTATCATTATTGAATATACATTTTGTTATATTTCTGCACATTTGAAAACGCGGATATATTTATGGAAAGTGTAAGGAAAACCGGTTTGTTGGCCCATAAAATGTTGGATTTTCGGCGTTGTTTGGATTAAGGGTTCAATTGTTATAAATATATTACTTTTATTGAATAAGCTTAATTTACTACAAATTTATCTTTCTTTCTTTCTCTTTCTCATTTTTTATCTAAATAGATAAATGTCAATTAAAAGTAAGGTTGAGAATAAATATACACACGATATTATAAATACGAAAATATTGTGATGTATTTTGTTTTATTAACGTCTTATTTATATACTAGTGAATTTAACAGAGATGCGACGATAATAAAAAGAGATATATTTAAATATATACATCGGATTTTATTGTAAATTATATAAATTTTCCACGACGGTTGTATTCTTGAAACTAAACATAATGTTTATATATACAGTTAGTATTAGTATTTAATTAGTATTAGTATTAGTACTATATTATATTATAATAATTTTTCATTAAAATCTTAAAAATATAGAAGTTTAGAAGAATTCAAAGTAGGAATTGCAATTAAGATGCTAACTTTAAGAAAGTCGTATAAAAGTAGCAATTTTAATTGCAACTATCTTAGCTTCTATGATAAATTTTTTCTTCTAATTGTATAGATATATAGACAGTATTCCCATTAATATACAGTTAAAATTTGAAAAAGATTTTTAAAAGGACAGTTTTATATACGAGAAATTCATTATCTTAATTCTTCAATACGATTAAACTTGTTAAAAAAAAGGAGAGCGCGGGTTTTTTTTAATCAAGTTGTCTGTCAAGTTTCGAATTGAGAGTTATGGTCAATGGTTACAGTTACTATCAAACATCTCTGGCTGTTTTGTCAATACAGCTGCATCGCTGATCGTCGTTCATGTTAGTATCGATATCCTTGGCGTTGCGATACGTATCGTAGGCCACGAAAGAAACTTAGCGATTGCAAATGTCTTAAAATTTTATATCTTAAGTTCGGAATACAGCGGATGTAATAATCTTTTGTTCAAAGTCTAAAACTATAACGTAATCTCCGACAAAAGGTATTTCCCATGTTGCCAGAAGTTGTAATAATGCTTTAAGCATTATTTAGCATTATTTCTAGCAAAATTTAAGAATTATAACATCTCATAGTGCGATAAACGTTCTTTTAGAAATTGCCTTACATTTTTTGGCTTAAAGCAAAAGATTAGAAGCTTGCTATATCGATTATGTTTCGCGCCTTACATATAGAAAAATATACACTGAGTTCCAATAAATTTCATTATTTAAATTAAAACAAAAAGTTTAAATTAAAACAACAGTTTAGTTTGCTTTTTTCCTGTATAAAATATAAATAATATTCTTAAGAATTTTATAATATTTTATAATACTTCATAATGTTCTTAAAAAGAAAATAAATTTGTGTCTTTTGAGTAAATGATAATAAGTTTTCTTAAAATTCGTGATAAGTATATTCTAACACATTTAGTATATTTTTAACATATTTATCACAAATTTTATAAAAAGACATTATCATTTATTCAAGAGGAAAAGAAGGATTTATATCATAAAATTTATATAGGAATTCCATATAGGAAAAAACAACCTGAATTTTTATTTTAATTTAATTTCCTCGTCTTAATTTATCAATTCTTGTTTTAATTTAATAAATTGAATAGCTTTAAAGGATTATTATCAAAACAATGTTCTTTGTTGAAGAGAACTAATATCTAAAAGAAAAGAATAAACTGAAAACAGCCACTTTCTTTAACGCAAGAATATTTTTTCTATGCATCTTTGATTTAACGTCATCACAAGCCTTCTATAAGTTTCGCCTGTACAATGCAAATCTCTCGCTAAATATATAATATATTTTTCCTATTACATCGTAATCTGATTTATTATAGATACATGTTTCTATATATAATTACGAGTTTATCGGAGGTTCTACAGTGATAAATTCATTGATTCCGGAAGTTCCCTAGATATGCCACGTACTATAGTTTTATCGTCCACGTGCAAAAGTTGTTGAGTTTTCATTGCACATGGGATTTTCCTGTAATAACTGCACGAAAAGAAATCACACTGATACATTATTAGCATGATATGCAACTTTTCATGGCAAATCAGCGAGTTAGTAAGTTACTATCGTATCACATGATACTTCAGACGAAGATAGCTTTCCGGTAATATGTTGTAATATACAGGATATCTTGTAATTCGTGTCTGTTACTTATATAGCATTATTTTTATCAAATTCCTTATTTTTCCTCGCTGTAATGTCAAAGAATCAATAATTTCCAAGATGCAAACGATCGAAAAAACGGGGTTTTCTAAGAGCGAAATTCTAAACGACCAATTATTTTCTTTGATCAATTTCAAATGGAAGTTGCTACACAATAATATAATAACTCTGAATTGCAGCTTTCGTAGATTTTTCCCAACATTTCACGAACAATAATATTTTATGCTTGATGTGCAATGCTATTTTTTTTCTTTTTTAATTCCATTTCGCTCCAAAACACTCAAATACATTGCATTATTTATCGCCACCATTAAAAAATTAGTATCAGCAATGATGTTCTATCTTCCGCAAACACCGCCAAACCCATGTGTGAATTAAATACCGCGTTGCTTGCAAAGTCGATATGGTTAAGTCGATCGGCAATTGATGCTAACGATAAATGACACAATCGATAAAACACGTAAAAATAAAAGTTGTTGAAGTGCTGCGAGATAACGGATTGTGAATCACAGGAAAAGGATTCACATAAAAAAGATGGCAAGAAAGGTAAAGAGAGAAGGGAGAGGGAGGAAAGAGAGAAAGAAAGGGGGGCAGAGAGAGAGAGAGAGAGAGAGAGAGAGAGTTTACGTCATCGATTTGCAAGCTTGTCTCAGAAAATAAACAAGGTGCAAGCACGATGTAATATTTTTCGATCTATAAATAAGATTATAGTTACATTTTATCTTATCTAAAAGGTTGCAGTGTTTCGCAATCAGAATAAGCTTTTGATTTCACGATGATCCCTAAATAATCGACTTTTCTGATGCGAATTGATCGTCGGACCGAGAAGATCGTCGGATCTCTTCGTTTCCGGCGATTGGTCGCTCTATTTGAAATGATGCATCTCAAATGAAATTTCCACCTGATATAGGCGGCAGTTCACAATGTATACACACCCGACCTGAGAAGCGGCGTGAAAGATTTCAAGGAGAACCGCGAAGCAGAATATACTTCAAAATCGTGATCCAGCGGCTAATCGCGTCTCCTAAGAATCTCCAAGCAGACATGTCTCGAGTTCCTCTTATGGCGCCTAATAGCACACAAGAAGTCGCGGATCGTCGGAACATGGTGATGTTAGAGGTATCGTCTGTTTCTATTAATTCATAATATGATACTTTTTTTTTCTTTCAGTATGTAGTTTCAGTACGTTTCAGCAGTAGTAAATTGTGCATTGTTAATTATATTATTAATAAAAAATTGTTAACAATTTGTATAAAACTTTTTTTGTATGTTAAAAATTTGTATAAAATTTACATAGAACTAATTAATTAATTATTAATCGAAAAATACGGTAGTGCTGCGTAAATATGTAAGTAAATATTAGGAGGTTGAATTATATAGTTCTAGTCCTTAGCAATAGATGGCTTTAGTAACAAGTTAATGGTTAGTACGAATGTTGAAATCTGGCAACATTGATTTGACATTTCTTTATGACATGTGACAGTTTGTGCGCTATTGTTACTGATAGTTTCATTGTTTATACGTGTCTAAAATGAATCGTACAAAATTATCTTTTCGACATTCATTACTTCTTTGTTTTATTTGAAAAAATCGGCAACTGGAACTTATGAAAAAATGTTTGTTACAACATCTGGTGATTAAGCTCCATCATATTCCAATTGTAAATTTTGGTTTCAACGATTCAAAAGTGGTGATTTCGATTTGAGTGATAAAGAACGTATTGGTCAACTAAAAAAATTCGAAGATTCTGAATTGCAAGCATTATTGAATGAAAACACCGCTAAAACGGAAAAACAATTGGTTAAACAACTCAACAAATAAATCAATTTCTAAACGCTTACACGTCATGGGAGAAATTCAAAAGGGAGGCAAATGGGTTCCACATGAATTGAGTGAAAGTGCCATTGCAAATTGCCGTTTGAATATCGTCATGTTTTTGCTTGCCAGACAGAGAAAAGAGTTTTTTGTGACGAATTGTAACTGGAGATAAAAAGTAAATTTATTCTGATAATCCAAAATAAAAAAAATCATGAGTTGATCCAGGACAATCATCAACATCGACACCAAAACGGAACATTCACGATCACAAAGCAATGCTCTGTATTTGGTGGGATATGGAAAGTATGGTGTATTAAGAGCTTCTAAAACCAAATAAAATAGTTACTAGGTAGTATTAGTTAACAGGTAGAGCAATACCAGCAGCAATTGAACAAATCGAATGATGAATTGATTCAAAAAAGGCCAGCGATAGCCAGCAATAGATACAAATGATTCTTTTGCACGATAATACTCATTCACATTTGCTTCAATCATTAAACAAACATTGTTAGAGCTCGAATAAGAAATCCTTCCGTATCCAGCATACTGTCCAGACCTAGCACCATCTAATTACTATCTATTCTGATCGATGCAACACGCTTTGGCAGATACACATTTCAATAATGTTGTCAATTATGAAGATGTGCAAAAATGAGTGTTTGATTGGATTGTTTCGAAAGATAGATCGTTCTATTGTCGTGGAATCGCTATGTTACCAGAAAGATGGGAAATAGTCGCAACTAAAAAATATTTTGATTGATGTAAATATTTTGATTGATGTAAATTTAACCATTTCTTTAAAATAAAGATAAAAAAATTTACAAAATAAGACCAGAATTGATTTAATTTTCTTATATATAAAGAACGACCGTTAAAAATAACTATGTTCATTTATGTCATCACGATGAACGTCGCGGCACTACTTATTAGCTTTATCTCGAGATTTTGCATTATTAATCTTTCAATTGAGATACCTCAGAAACTAAAGCCGGAATAAAAAAAGTAACAATACTCTTCTTATATAATATGAATGCAAGCTTCGATTGCGATCGGTCTTATTAAAATTGGTACGTTCAATTCTAAGATCTCAAAGTCTTATACGCGCGAAAAGGACAGTTCCTCCTGATTCAGATTTCAGTATCATACATACGAAACGAGTTTATTCTTCAGGTCGCATTCGTAGCGCATAGGTATATACAAATATATTTGGATGTATGAGAATATAAATTAACGTAGGTACGCACACATTTTCTTGCACATCCTTTAGCGATTTTACAATTGTTGCTTTATGCACATTTTTTTAGTATGTGTATATATATATATATATATATATATATATGAATGTAGATACGGACGCATTTTTTGCATATCTTTCAGCGGTTTTTATCGCCACAATTGCTTTTGTCGTCATTGTCGACGTCATCGTAGTTTTCATCGTCACTGTCCACGTCGCTGTTGCAGTCGTCGTCGTTGTCATCATCATCATCGCCAATGTCGTCGTCGCCGTTGCTATTGTCATCGTATTGTGATTACTGTTGTCATTGATGTCATTGTAGTAGTGTCGTTGTCATTGCTGACGTCATCATCATTATCAAGGCCGTAGTCGCCTCCATTGCCGTCATTGTTGTCATTGTTGTTGTTGTTTTAGTCATTACTGCTGTCACTGTGTCGTCATCATCGCCGTTGTCGTAGTCGTAGCCGCTATTATTGCAATCGCCATCGTCATCGTACAATATACAGGATACATAAAAAGTACCGAGACTGCAAAATATCTTGAAAACTAAGTATTTTAGAAAAAAATGGATTAGACAGAAGTTGTATGGTTTCAAGGGAGACATAAAATAGCTATGTCATTTTGTTTACAGATGACGCTACTCTCGAGATATTCACTGATCATTACTTTTCTTAAATGGAAACTCTAATTTTTTATTATGTCATCTTTTTCTACCAATTAATTTGAATAACTTTTGTCTGAAACCTTTTTTATTTGCCAAATATTTTTTGAGATATTTAGGAAAAACGATAATTTTTTCAATACTTAACTTACGATATCTCTTTGTTTGTCGGAAGAAAAAGTGATACTAAACTTTTTTACTCTATTTAGTCTCAAGAATATATTATTACAATAACGCCCTGACTTTTGTTAATTTGATGATTTTGAAATCTCGAAAGATCGATAAGTTAACAAAAGTTAAGGCACTATTGTAACAATATTCTTGAGACCAAATAGAGTAAAAATGTCTAGTATCACTTTTTCGTCCGACAAATAGTTAGGAAGATATTGTAAGTTAAATATTGAAAGAGTTATCAAGTTTTCCTTAAATATCTCAAAAAATATTAGGCAAATAAAAAAAGTTTTAGACAAAAGTTGTTCAAATTAATTGGTAGAAAAAGATGATATAATAAAAAATTTAGATTTCTATTTAAGTAAAATAATGATTAGTGAATAACTCGAAAATGACGTTATCTGTAAACAAAATGATATAGTTGTTCTATGTACCCCTTGAGACCGTACACCTTTCATCTGAAATATTTTTTTCTAAAATGCTTAGTTCTCGGGATGTTTCGCAGTCCTGGTACTTTTTATACACTGTATATTGAATATTTGTATATATTTTTATTATGTTGTAAAAAAGAATACAAATTTAAAATTAATTATTGATATTTCTTTCTATGTAAATATATTCTGTTATACTATACTTGTACACGAGTACTGCGAGTACTGCCTGAAGAATCCAAACTCAGGATATGAAACATTCTACAAAAAAGCAATGATCTGATTTCATACTTAAGATTGTCTATTTAAGATGTCTTTTATATAAACTTATTTTCAGCGAAAGACATTCTATGGATCGGTTCATTAGCTATAGAGCATTTGAAAATGATTTAAGACATTAATAAATATTCAGTGAAAAAGTAATATCAAAACAATAGCGGACAAACGACGTTGTTTTGATGTTAGAACTTCGACATTAGCTCGAAGCGACTTCGATTTGACATAGTTTGGACATTGTTTGATGAGTCATTTTTCGCTGATTGAATATGAATATCGCATGTTCTCGGTTATGACATTTTAATTTAAATACATAAATAATATATAATACATTAACACATAATATTAATATATAAAAATACACATAATAATGTTTTACCAGAGTGTTAAGGTAAATTCTGTTTATGTAGATCTTTAAAGATATCCGTATACCTGTATATTTTATCTTCCATTATTATTCCATTCCCGGAAAACTTGTAGCAAGTTGTCAGAGGATACGTAAAGATTAGTAAGGTTGTAACAATAAAAATATTATCCTTGTAAATACTATATTTTTTAGTCAATATCATTTTTCTGTCGAGTTTTATCAAAATCTATATAAATATACCATATCAGCATATTCACTATACGAATACGTATGAAGAATGATTATATTAGTTTATTCCATAATAGCATTCAATGAACTAGCAATTATTTGGTACGAATAAAAGGAGCTTTTACAGTGCAAACACAAACCTATTAACCCCTTGCCGCATAATGACGAATGAGATTCATGATATGGAATCATGGGCCAAACATGAAAATTACGAGTTAGACTCGTGGTACGGATTACGGATCAAATATGAAAATCACGAGTCAAGATTTCATTGTCCCAGTTCGCGAGTAACTTTGTTTCTTATTACGGCACTGCGCGATGCCAAATTAAATCGTATGGCAAGGGATTAAGAACTTTCAATCTTCAAAACAAAAAGGAGACATTTTAACACTATTTATTCTTATAGTTCTCTAATTTAAGATGTGGATATCTGTTGAACGAAATATTTGTAAGCATACTTCTAAAGGAAATCTGTAAGCATATAGTACTTCCAGAGGAAATTTTTTTTCGTTATGAAGTCCCAAATTCATAATTTCAAGTTTGGCTATTTAATACGCGGATACCCTTATAACGTTCATCACTTATTGTTTTTCTATGAAAAGTTGCATTGATAATTTATACATCCTTTCTTCTATGTGTCTTTACTGTAAGAATACTTTTAATATTTAAATTTACAATTTTAAGCATTTTTCATATTATAATAGCCTTGAACATTTTTATAACAAGGATAATTTTGATGTTTGCACATTAAAATATGTTCTTGTCGAAGTCGATGAAGCTATACAAGACTTTAAAGACTTTAAAGACGTTGATAACAAATTTGAAGTTGATAACATCCCAGCAGACACAATGTAACATGTACTATATTTGTTAGTTGTAATTTCTTATTCAATAATGTAACTCTACGCGTTTATAACTGTTACATTGTTGAGTAGAAAATTACAATTAACAGTTATGTTATATGCTACATTATATTTTCTGAGATCAATGAAATGATAACGTAATTAAATATTCAAGAATAAATCTTTGATAAAATTATTGCTGATATAACATCTGAAAATAGAATTCTGAGTCATTGTGTAAGTGGTGAGGATGTCCTTCATAAGAAATATGTTTAATCTTATAGAGCAATTTAGGCTTAGGCAGTTAAAAATAGAATCTAAATAGAGACAATGTTTCTCCTAACTATATTGTATCATTTTAAACTATAAATTTATTAACAAAAGTAATCTATAATAATTAATACTCCTGATAATATAATTTCGTGTAATATATTTTAAAACAAAAGGTAACACATAAGCTTACATCACAATCACTTCGCATTGATATCTGGTTTCTTATCTTTTATTATTTTTCTACATAAATCAAAATAATTATTACAAATGTAATCGGTGCAAAGTATGAGTGCCAACTAAAATCGGCTTTAGTATGGATAGCTTGCTGCGTGAATATCGATTAAAGCGTTAGGAAAGAAAGGGTTAATAAAGATTCGTGTGTGTATGCATGTGTACGTGCGCGTACTGAGTTAGAAGATTCATTAGAAAGTGAATGGATACATTAGTAATTGCGCTAACAGGTAGCTTTTGATATTGACGGACTTACTATTTATAGATTATTTAAATTACCTGTCGAGTATAACTGTCGAGTATACTGCTAAATATAAGCAATTTTCTAATATAAATCTTAAAATTACACGAAACAAATTGGAAAATGTTATTTTAATAATTATCAGTAAAGTTTCAATAATTTCTAATATTACTTTAATGTACATACATTTTTGGCCAATAAAAATATTTAATATTAGGGATTTTGGTAAAGGATAACTCGGTAAAAATACATGTTTTTTTTAAGATTAAAACTTATCCTCCCGCGTACGAGGAATTATTTTTTATTATTAGGAGCGCAAAAAAGTTCTGAGCCGTAGATTTTATACTACTGAAACCACAATTTAAATTGCATTAATTTTCCCACCCTCTTGCGGTTTTAAAGCAGTGACATTTGGTCTTTCGAAACATCGTGCGATTTGGCGTTTGATGCACATAACCTTAAAATCAGCAGTGTTCACGATGGCAATAACAAAAGAGCACATTCGATTTTCCATCCACTTCGCGTTTCATCTGAAGAAAAATGCTGCTGAAGCCACTGAAGTGATCTGTGTTGCATATGGAGAGAACGCTATAAGTTATGCTACGTGTAAAAGGTGGTATCAAAAATTTCGCCAAGGAGATTTCAGTCTTGAAGATGAACCGCGTGCTGGACGCCCTCAAAAGATTGAAACGGACGAACTGCAAGCATTGTTGGATATAAACTCTGCACAAACTGAAAAGGAGCTTGCAGAGCAACTTGGTGTTACGCGACAAACCATTTCCACACGTTTACATGCAATGGGAAAAGTTCAAAAGGAAGGCAGATGGGTTCCGCATGCACTGTCCGAAGACAACAAAAATCGACGGCGTGACACGGCACTCACTTTGCTTTCAAGGTTCCGGAAAAAGGATTTTCTGCACCAAATCATTACAGGTGATGAAAAGTGGATACTTTATGATAATCCGAAGCGTAAAAAATCATGGGTTGACCCTGGTCAACCTTCGACATCGACGCCAAAGACCAATATCCATGCCAAGAAGGTTTTGTTTTGCATATGGTGGGATTGGAAAGGTGTATTGTATTACGAGTTGTTACAGCCGGGTGAAACAGTAACGGCAGATCGCTATCAGCAACAATTGAGCAATTTGAGCGATGCGTTTGAAGAAAAGAGGCCATTTACTGGCAAAGGACGTCGTAAAGTGACACTGCTTCATGACAATGCCTGACCACATGTTGCGAAAGTGACTCAGGACCATATCTTTGCGTTAAGCTAGGAACTTCTCCCACACGCGGCGTATAGCCCAGACATGGCGCCTTCCGATTACTACCTATTCCGGTCTCTGCAGCATTTCTTGGCTGATACACATTTTGTGACACTTGAAGAGACACGAAAATGCATTGATGACTTTATCGCCTCGAAGCCGGTAAGCTTCTACCATCAGGGAATTCGCAAGCTGCCCGAAAGATGGCAAAAGGTCATCGATGCAAACGGGGAATATTTCGTTGATTAATATAGTTTTGTTTGTTTTTAAATAAATTTTGAATTTTGCAAAAAAAGGCTCAGAACTTTTTTGCGCTCCTAATAAATTATTGAAGACAAAAGTTGAGAAATATATTGAAATATAACGAACATTGTGAATTTGTGATTCTTATTTAATTCTACCATAAACTGCAGATTAACATGCGACAAAACAAGGTAATGATATTTATTATAGATATATATTATTAAGAATTCGAATAGGAAACAGAATTAAAAATTCTAAACTTAAATATTAAATTTAAATATTAAAGTTGTTTCTATAAAAAATATATGTAGAGGAAGATATATATAAAATTATCAGTGCAACTTTTCATTGTGAAAAAAGTATAAGGGGTAGGCATTATACAAATATAGTACGTCCCCAAAATGGATATTCAAATTATTAAAAAGTGGATAAGTATAGTTAGCTTCGAAATGCTAAGAATGCATGTACACAGTCTGTCCCAGATCCAATGAGACTGGTCTAAAAAAAACAAAGCGTTTATTATTTTGATTTTTTATTCTTATTTATTCAAAATAGTCTCCTTCTGAGTCAATACAGCGCTGGAAATGTTCAACAAATTTTTCGAAACATTTTTTATACTCATCGGCTGGAATGGCCTTTAGTATGGCGGTCGAAGTCTTTTGGATGACCGGGATGGTATCGAAACGATTTCCTTTCATCGCCAATTTCAGTTTGGGAAATAGCCAGAAGTCGCACGGAGCCAAATCAGGTGAATACGGTGGATGATCGATAACAATGATGCCTTTTTTGGTCAAGAATTCACGTACCATGATGGCTTTGTGCGATGGTGCATTATCGTGCAACAAAAACCAACTGCCTGGCTCTCGATATTCCGGTCGAACTCGTCGAATTCTAGGCCACAATCGTTGTAGGACTCCCAGATAATATCTAGGCAGACACACAGCGGTCGTTTCGAAGAATTTCTTTGACTTTCTCGATGTTTTCTTCATTGCGAGTGGTTTTTGGCGGCGATGCTCGGTCATCGTCTGCAAGGTCTTCACGACCGTCACGGAATCGGCCAAACCAACGGAAAACCTGTGCACGGGACATGCATTCATCCCCGTACACATTTTTTAGCGTTTCGTACGTTTCTGCACCACTTTTACCCAATTTAAAAGTTGGTTCTTCGACCGACGTATACAAAGTGACTTTACATAAAATGTCAAACCACAGTGAAATATCAACCGAATTCGCTCAAATTTTGAGGTTAAGTAGATGAAGGGTAGAACATTCATCTACCATCATTCACTCATAGATATCGCTGCACTAAGAACTTTGATGAAACCAGTCTCATCGTATCTGGGACAGACTGTGTACATTGATGTCTTGAATGTGCTTCTGGCACATTATATATCCATGAATTCAATTTTTTAACATACAAATACTACTACTATATCCATGAATTCCATTTTTTAACATACAAATACTACTACTATATCCATGAATTCCATTTTTTAACATACAAATTTTACTTTTAAATTAATAACTGTATGCTGAAATATCTAGATAAGAAATTGAGGAATTAATTAATTTTTTTTATCTCACTCCTTTTTGTTAAAATTTTTACTAGCTTTATACTAAATATTATATAATTTCAAACAATATTTGTTCATATGTACATTAAGAAAAATGTTTATTTAATTAGAAAAGTTTATTTTTTTTGGTTTATTAAATGTATTTTTTAAACACTTTTTGTTTCTTTTTGTTGCACATATGTATAAATGTGTTTTAGAGATATGATTATCAAGAATATATTAAAACAAAGGGTGTATTTTTTTCTTAAATTAGATATATGTTAAATATGTATAATTATTTGTTATATAATTATATATTTTTAAATATAACTTTTATTTATAACTATTAATATAATTATATCTTAATATTATTATTGTAATTATATTAACATAATTATATATTAAATATTTTATAAAATCACGTGTCTATTGACGTCTATAAATATAATTATAATACAGTTACTATTGTACGGGACGTACGCGACATGAATAGGAAGTTACCAAAAAATTGATAATATGGAAAATGTTAATTGCGATAAATTTATGGTACGTAGGCTGGGTTACCTGGCGATTCGTGGACGTACTGCGTCGAGACAGAACGGTTAGCTAGAAGATCGGAATGGTTTCGAGCGATGCTTACCGGTCCGCTTGCACCACCAGTAACGGACTCACCACCATTGTTACGATTGCAACATGTCGACAAACGGGCGTTCGATCATTTCCTCAGGTAAATCTTCTGGCAGATTTCGCCTTATTTTTATCCAAATATTATTTCGACAAAAGCAGAAAGAAAACAGAAATTTTTCTCGAAAATATGATCTCCCTTTCTTTCTTAAAAATCTTGCACTCAAAAAGTGTGAAGTGCAAAAACGTAAAATTCCGAAATATATAACAAAATATTAATTTAAAATTAATTCGAAATATATAACAAAAAATTAATTTAAAATTAATTTAAGTTTCGAGAGATTTTAGCGTCGTTAATAAAACCTAACGACAAAAATGTACGTAACATAAGTTTTTACATGTAAAATTTATAAAACTTACCTTTTTAAACAAAAAGATAAAAAAAGGCGCCAAGTATAAGCGCCAACAACACGTATTGTGTTATTTTTAGAAATTTTAAATTCAAATTATCTTTTTTTTACGGTATATATATGTATATAACGTAAGTTTTTACAAGTAAAACTTATATAAAACTTACCTTTTTAAACAAAAGTAAAAAAAGGCGCCAAGTACAACACGTATTGTGTTATTTTTAGAAATTTCAAATTCAAATTATTTTTTAAGGTATATATGTGTACATAACATAACTTTTACAAGTAAAACTTATAACTATATTGCTCAAAAGAATTATGGCATAGATAATTTATTGCCGAAAATTGGCCAACTTTGACTGGCGATTACTTCGCGAAAAATTATTGTAGACTAATGATTTTTTGTTCAAAATGAAGTTTGAAGTCTCTGCTTTAAGAATGTATCTCCATTTTTTGCAAGCGATGCACCCCTATCCCTGTAACCCCTGACATCTGAGGGTATGTTTAGTATACGGAAAATTGCAAAATTTGACGGAATGTATGGACGTGGACAATTTTTTTTTCGGGGACGCCGTTTGCATCGTCATTAAGTTCAAATCTTCCCCTTCAATTTGAAAAAAATGGAGACACTACAATTTTTTTTCGCAAAGTTACAGCCCTTCAAAAATATCGTTGTTTTTGGCCTTCGAACCAAGTGTACACGCATGTGGGTGTGTGTGTCCCTGACAGAAGAGATAAAGACCCCGTGATTCGTCACTTCCACAGTAATTATTGACGAAATGTCAATGATATCTAATTTGACTTTTATATACGTACATCTTCGATATAGTTTTTGGTGCAGCCGCGCCAAAATTTTTTGTATTAAATATTTTTTATTGCATTGTTATAATAATTAATTCGTTATAATAATAAGTAAAATAACCATATAACTCAGTGTTCTAATAAATAATGATAAATTTTACTTTTAAAAATTTATATTATGGACATTTTTTGTAGTTCGGTTTTTCTTAAAGAATAATAACCTTTAAACACATATTTTTTTTTAATATTGGACACTATTAATAAACGAGTTAAATTTTTATAACACGATATAATTTTCACATGTAAAAACTTATGTTATGTACATATATATCTTAAAAGAAAAATAATTTGATAAGTTTTACTTGTAAAAACTTATGTTATGTACATAATATACAGGGTGGGACAAAAGTCTGGATACACCCTCATAAATTTTGAACGAATCTAGATAGAAAGTTAAAATTTGGAGAAGTTGTATAGGATCATGAAAGCTATCTTTTGTGCAGGATGGCATCCAACCCCCACCTTCTTAGGGCACGAGGATGGGGGTGACTTAAAAATCTTAAATGGCATGAAAGGTAAACTGAGAGCTCATTTTAAAGGTGTTTTAAAGACGAAAAAGATGTTTTCGAGAAAGTTCGCTACGACTCTCCAATCGAAAGTTATGATCATAAAACAAAAATTTGCATTTCCTTGTTTATTGCGTTACCGTTGTTTGCACTACCCAGGGTCTACGACGAGGACGTGATAGTTATCAGACCCCGTGTGTGTGTATGTGTGTAACGGAGATCAGGACTCTAGGGTTCGTCACTCCCCCAGTATTTTGTGATTCCAAACCTTCTCCGTTTCACGCACGCGTGTGTTTGTGTGTGTGTGTGTATGCGTTTGTTGTTTGTTTGTTTGTGTGTGTGTATGTGTGTGCGCGCGCGCGCGCGGGTGTGGGTGGGTGAATATGTGTTTACAGTAAGTGTTCGAACTGTCGACCTTCTACAGTTTGACAGTGGGCCAGACGATTGTAAAAACTGGTACAAAACTGTAACGTTTTGTAATATTTCGGGAGTAGTTAATGCCACCTCGTCGATAATTCGTAGTCGCAAGTCGTTGAGATTTTGAAGTTTAATTCTGTACACTCGGTTTTTAAATAACCGCAGAAGAAAAGTCCAAGGGAGATAGGTTAGCAGGATCTGGGTGGCCACTCGATTGCGCCCCATCCATCTTTCCATCTTTCAGGAAAAGTGTTGTTTAAAATATTCTGCACTTGTAATCCAAAATGTGGAGGAGCACTGTCCTGCTGAAACCAAACTGAATCAAAATCTGGACCGAAAATGTTGCGAAGAGTTGGTACAATATCGTCTCGGAGCAGCCTCATAACTTTATGCTGTCAGATTGCCATCAATGAAAAATGATCCTATTATGTGCTGTCCAACTATTCCCGCCCAAACATTTAGTTTTTGTGGATATTGGTTTTTGGATTCTCTCATCTAATGCGGATTAGAATCATTCCAATATCGACTGTTGTATTTATTTACTGAACCGTCTAACATAAATGTAGCCTCGTCTGAGGAAACAATCTTGTTTTAAAATTCCGGTTGATCATCAATTTTTTCTATCATTATGTCACAAAATTCGAGTCGGCGATTAAAATCATGTGCGACTAATTCTTGAACAAGATTTATTTTGTATGGGTGAAATGTGGAATTTTTGAGAACACGCAGAACAGATTTATAGCTACAGTCATGAGCCTGGGCAGCTTTTCGTGTAGAGGTATGGGGATCTTCTACAAATGATTGTAATATTTCTATCGAGATGTCTTCATTTGTAGCAATCTCCGACCTACTCGATCTTTGCCGATCCTTGACGCATCCTGTATTTTGAAAACGATTAGATGTTTTCTGTATAGTGGCTGCAGAAATCCCTTGCCTCCCTTGCCGAAACTCAGCATTAAATAAATCTTGAACCTCTCGAAATGACCGGATCACCGTACTCTCGCATCATCAAAAGAGTAATACGTTCTTTTTCTGTAAGCGCCATTTCAATGCACTCAGTTAGCCTATCCAAGACGCTCGTTTGCTTGTCAGATTATCAACGATAGTGTGCAGTATTTATTGAGTATCACAGCGGGGAAATACTTTTCCGTCACAAGATTCAAAACCGATCGTACAATTTATTTCACAACTCTTGTTTGTCGAGATTTGTTTCAGTCAACCTTTTAAAGATTTAATTGTGAAAAGTCAGAAAATAACATGGCAATTTATTTTATATGATACGGCCACGTTATTTTCTTAAAATATTCTTTTACTAAATAAAATACTCTCTTAACAATTAAATCTTTAAAAGGTTGACTGAAACAAATCTCGACGAACAAGAGTTGTGAAATAAATTGTACGATCGGTTTTGAATCTTGTGATGGAAAAGTATTTCCCCGCTGTGATACTCAGTAAATACTGCACACTATCGTTGATAATCTGACAATGAAACGAGCGTCTTGGATAGGCAATTTAATGCTGAGTTTCGGCAAGGGAGGCAAGGGATTTCTGCAGCCACTATACAGAAAACATCTAATCGTTTTCAAAATACAGGATGCGTCAAGGATCGGCAAAGATCGGGTAGGTCCGAGATCGCTACAATCGTCTGGCCCACTGTCAAACTGTAGAGGTCGACAGATCGAACACTTACTATAAACACATATTCACCCACCCACACCCGCGCGCGCGCGCGCGCACCCACACACACACGCACGCACGCACGCACACACACACAAACACACGTGTGCGTGAAACGGAGAAGGTTTGGGGTCATAAAATATTGGGGGAGTGACGAACCCTAGAGTCCTGATCTCCGTTACACACATACACACACACGGGGTCTGATAACTATCACGTCCTCGTCGTAGACCCTGGGTAGTGCAAACAACGGTAACGCAATAAACAAGGAAATGCAAATTTTTGTTTTATGATCATAACTTTCGATTAGAGAGTCGTAGCGAACTTTCTCAAAAAACATTTTTTTCGTCTTTAAAACACCTTTAAAATGAGCTGTTAGTTGACCTTTCATGCCATTTAAGATTTTTAAATCATCCCCGCTCTCTTGCCCCATGGAGGTGAGGGGTGGATGCCATCCTGCACAAAAAATAGTTTTCATGATCTATATATTTTTTTTATTGATTTTTATTGATTTTTCGATGACACGGCCCATCATATCGTCTGCTCAGCATCAGCTGACCGGCAATCAAATGACGGGCGATACAACATACAGTGCTTAACATTCTCACATTATTATTTTTAGACATTCCCTCTCTTACTCTCCCCCTCACCTTCTCATCTTCTCCTCTCTCTCTCTCTCTCTCACTCTCTCTCTCTCTCTCTCTTTCTCTCTCTCTCTCTCTCTCTCTCTCTCGCACATTTTCTCCTATACTGTATTCTACGTAGCATATCTCTCGCTTACTCGCTGATATTCGCTGCTGTCTGCTTCTTCAGCGCTCTCGTAGCGCCCCTGTGGTGCGATTCTTTAACTCATTATTAGAGTTAACGACAGTTTCGTTATTGCGCAGCTTTTCTACAGTATATAAAAGCTGCGCAATGGTAACGAAAATGTCGTTATCTCTAATAACGAGTTACAGAATCGCACCACTGGTGTCGGAAAAGCGAGATGCACGCATATCCCCACTCCTGTGCGTCCGACGTTTTTTATTTACTTTCTTACTGAATCGAAATTTTCCTTGATTTGGACTTTATCTTAAAATAGCTCCACTTAGAGACAACGTACACAAAAATCACCAAAACATTTTGCTTCCTATTTTTTAAGGCCGAATCGATTGGGACTAAAAAAACCTCGATCGGTTCAGCCATTGCTGAGATATGAATATCTCACCTCGTTTGAACTTGCAGTTTCGCGTAATATAGGCATAGTGTGCCTTTTGATAATGAGACGATCATCCACGAGCTTGGAAAAAAAGAAAAACGAAAAGATATTATTATGCAGTTTTCGAAATTGCAGATACCTTCACGACGAACCGGTTATTTTCATATCAGTGTCGACTGCCAGAGTTACGCTTGACGCTGCACATCAATATCTGTGTTCTGAATTAGTGAGGCTTGCTGCAACATATTTAGTGCAAAAATTAGAAAAGTCAACCGTGCTCGAGATCTATCAGGGGCTCAGACTCTATGCAAGCGATTCGACACCCACCTCCGACAGATCGCTATACTCTCCGTCAGCACCACAGCCACCCGGAGACGAGGCCGATGAAATAGGTATATTTTTGTTTTCTCTGCTTCAGATACACTGCATTTAACATTTACAAGGATATTTTTACGTATTTATAAATAAACAATCACATAAATAAAGATTTTATTTTATCTGTTGAAATTTCTTCTGCCTTCTTCATATTTTTCTTTTTTCTCTTATTTTCTGTTCATCCATCGGTGATAATTATATTATTTGTCATATATATTAAAAAGTTATCCGTTAATTATTATTATTATTATTATTTACTTTAAATTACAATAATGATATGTAGCTTGTATATTTCATTTTCAAATATGACGACATAAAAATCAAAAACAAAGATCGAAGCGGTTCTATTGCGAGTTTTCTATCAAAATGATTACTTTGTCTCATTTTTAACCTGTGTCTGATTCGACCGTTTAATTTACCAAATCTAACGATCCATTCTTGTTTACATTACAGCGGCCATATGTACCGATCTTTTGCTCAAGTGCCTGTTTGTAATCGACTCGGATCCAGCAGCGGTGCTGCGTCAAGAACGTTTCGAAGAGCTTAGTGTTCAAGAAGTGGCCCAAATAGCACGCCGCGATACTTTAGACCTCAGCAGTGAGTGCATTCTCTTTTCGGCGTTAGACAGGTGGGCCGCGGCTGAGTGTCGAAGACAGGGTCTCGAGCCCGTACCGTTCAACAAGAGGGCTGTGCTCTCGGACGAAATTTGCTTCAGCGTGCGGTATCTTCTTATGAACGATCAGGAATTTGTCCGCGGTCCCATGGCGAGCGGTATCCTAACTAACGAAGAGTGCGTGTACATTGTTTCCAGGATATTAAGGCATCCCGAGAATTCGGTGGATAGTAATGTAAGTACATGTAATGTGTACATTGAGGCAAAGTTAATTCAAATAGTCAAACTTACAAACACAAAGTTTTTGCACAGTGCCTGTTTGTAAGTATGGATATCCTTAGATATCCATCCTTTGAATAGAGCTTTTAAAAATAACTTAGAGCTTGAAAAAAAATGTAATATCACTCAGAAATGAAATGATAGTTACAGATGTTCGAAGTGTCTATCTCTTTGATGAGGACATCTTTCCATCCTTGGTCTCATGCTATCGACGGCTCTCCTCCGAAATTAATTATTCATATTTATGTTTGATTTGTAATCCGTATTACGAGTCTGACTTATGTGTTATATTATGTGTTATATATTATATTATGTTTATATCATGTTTAGTCCGAACGACGATATATGAAATGGCGGATTCAAGAAGCTTGCTATTCTCTGAATTCTGCAGAAGTTTTATAAAAGTCCTAAGAGCCATCGACAGTGTCAAACAAAAGATAGAAAGATGTCTTCGTCAAAGTAATGGACATTTTGAACATTTGTAACTATCCTTTCATTTCGGAGTAATTTATATTTTTTTTTCAAGCAAAAATTATTTCTTTTTAAAAGCTCTATCTAACGATATACTGTCCGGTGCTGCTGTTTAAAATTTTCAAGTTGCCTTCGGTTTACGGTATTTCCGAAAGTTTTCCAAAAGTGAAAGTATCATTAGAAACTTCAGATAGGCTTTCGTGGTAAACATATTTATTCAACTTCCTAGCAGACCCCTTTTCAAAATAAAATAAGTAGATGGGTGGTCTGAAACACTCCATATAATACTATATAATTTATATATATTATTAAATTTTTATATACAAATTTTATATAATTATATATAATATTATTTGATTGGATATGGATTTGCTATAGTATTCTGATCGAATCTGTTGGCAATCTGACAGCACCTACTGCTAACATTTTGCTTATTGGGTAATGTATGTTGTCGGGAGGCTAAAGTGACTTCTTTTATTTGTAGTTACGGAGTACCTCAGCTGTTCATCCATCTATGTTATCTGATACGCCTAGAGCCGGCAGGTACAAATGTGACTATAATATGTTGAAGCCGGGCAAGAAGGAAAGACAGGATAATCGGAAAAATAGACGGAAGGAATGCGCCAGTCAAGGGCAAAGAACATGCGCTAGGATAGGAAACTGCTTCATACAAGTCCTCTCTTGCGTATTTGATTAATTGATTCATTCGTGAATATTTATATAGGCGATTGGAAATTTTTCAGAGATTATTTCTCACCCACCGACAAATATCCCATCGTTCTTTCATTATTGTATCTTTTCGGTTACAACTTTGGTGCGTGAAATAAGAATATAAAGTGATATAAATAAAAAAAAAAACGTTGCGAGCAACACGAAGGTTCAAAAGAAATAACATAATATTTTCAAGGAATTATGTTATTTTATAATTAAATTTTCGAAACTCAATATCCTAGCTATTCGTTACGGTTATCTTGATTTGTGACATCAACGCGACAGAAGTTATGACAGAAATGCGGAAATACACGTTCAAAATTTTTACAAAATATATTGAAATAAAAAGATATATTCACATAAAATGTGACACAATATACAGGGTGTTCCGTAAGTCAAGGTAAATCGCTCGGGAGATGAATGGGGATCCAAAAACAAGAAAAGTTGATATGAATAATAAGTTCAGAAATGCGTTGTTCTCGAGTTTTATCGCCAATCTTACATTGAAGTTTAAAATTGTTTTATTTTTGAATTTTTTTGTCAAAATTGAAACAGAAGATAGTTTTTATGAGTTTTGTAACGTAATTAAAGTCAAAATAAGTTGCAGGTTGCTTCAGCACTATCGAGCACTACCAAGATGTAGCCCGCTTAGCATCCCTTGGCAGAGATCAGAACTCTACAATTTGTCGCTCCTATAGTATTTAGAAATGACTGGCTGTACTGTGGTAATGCTGGATAGTGCCAAAGCAATCCGCAACTTTTTTTTTACTTTAATGATATTGTAAAACTCATGAAAACCATTTCCTGTTTCAATTTTGACAAAAAAATTCAAAAGTAAAACAATTTCAAATTTCAACATAAGAACAGTAAGAACTTGAGAACAACGTATTTCCGGATCTATGTTCATATCATCAACTTTCTTTCTTGTTTTTGGGTTCCCATTCATCTCTCGAACGATTCACCTCGACTTATGGAACACCTTGTATAGAGCAGATCTGTAAAACAGTCCGAACATTTTTATTTTATTTAATAAATAACTATAAAATTAATATGAAAAAAATAGGTTAGAAAAATAGATTATATATCATTAATTTTACGATAATTTATTGATTGCTAAAGAAAAAAGTATTGAAGCTTCCTACAGATCTGCTCAATTCCTTGCAAATATTATTGTATGCATATATTATGCGTAGAGTGTCTGACAATGACATACAAAGCTTTTGTGTAAGTGTAGATTAAATGTTCAGGTCAAACTGAATAAAAAATTTCTCTACCAAGTTGCTAGCAACTGCATAGGATTTTGAGTAATTATTTAAAGAAGATTAGTGAATGAATTTGTACAATATGTTCTCAAATAAGATGTGATGGCAACGTTCGCCGTCGTATGCTTATAGATTATGTACTAATTTTTTTTAATTAGTTACAGAATTTTTTTCTTTGTAAAAGGATACAGGATTTTTATTCACTTTAATATAATCTACAAGCATACGACGGCAAACATTGCCAGCACATTTCATTTAACGCATCATGCAAGTTCTATTACTAATTTTCTTTAATTAATAATTCAAAATTTTACGTAGTTGCTGCATGGTACAGGATTTTTTATTTAGCTTGATTTAATCTACATGAGAACATTATATGTTATCGTCAGACATTCTATATATTTTTTTTAATTTAATATATTTTGGATGAATTTTTAATTTTCTCGATTCTGACGTCATCGATCAATTAGCCCGTAACGATTAGCTAAGAGCCTTCAAGTTCGGTGTAATTTTATGTAACTAAAGCAAAGTTCATACATTTCAGACCTGGACACACTTGATTCACTTTCAGACTTGGACTTTCTTGATACTGAAAACTTTATATGATTCATTAATGAAAAACACTTAAACAATGTATTTTTTATGAATGTTGTAACAATGTCTTATTAGTAGGTGTGATGTGAAATAGCGTAAACGATATTCTATCACTACTAGAATATTGTTACGAATATTATTACACGATTACATCGTAGTAGAGTTCCACACACGATAGATATTTAGATATTTTTAAAGGCAATTGAAGATGAAATTTGTGAGAAATGTTTTGTAATAGTTTTAAAAGATGGATTTAGATTACACACTCCTCCTTTGTAGGGTGAACTTTTTTATTAATTTAGATGTTATTTTAAGAAAGCAATTACACAAATGTTGGCTCTTTGGAATTGTTCTACATGTGAAAATTTTAAACTGTTATACAACTTCCATTAATATTATATAAAAAAAGACTTTGTATCGTTTGTACATGTTCCATTACTTTTTAAGAAATATTTTATCTTCTTGCTCACTTACAGTTTCGCGCAAGTTTACCCCGACTTTATCATAGTTTACGGGGTAACAAGTTTCAATCCGTGTATGTTTTATGAGAAAAAAAGCTTTCACAATATACATTTTATGAGATTTTTCGAAATTTTAGGTTGGCAGTAAACTATGAAGTGCTTTTAATTTATAATCGATGGAAATTATTTGTTTGTCCAAAAATAATAACATACTTTTCTATAACTGCCTTTTCTGAAAATTTCCTTTTTAAGCTCGGCATATTGTACGAGAAAAAAAATCGGTGGACATGCATTGTCTTGAAAAGATACATGGAAATTTAAAAAATAAAACAATTTCCTGGAAAGTTATAATATAAAATCCTCGAATATCAAGGCAATCTGAAATTAAAACTATCTCACGTACCGTAGGATATATTAGTATTTAATTATTTGAATACACCAAAACAATGTAATATATATATATTGAAGTTTTTCAATAATTTCGATTTTAAGCGACATTTGTTTAAATGACGCAGCATGTACAAATTTCAATATAACTTTATAGTATATCTTCATACTTCTAATATTTTGGGAGATTAATTTGATATTCAATTTCTGGAATTGTGATTTTCCGGGACATTTAGGTCACGTCATTAAATACTTCAATACTTTAGTCATTTTTAAGAGATTATAAATAAATTAAAATATTTTCATAAATTAGAAACATATAATACTTCAAATCTCAGATATTGAAATTTTTTCCAACAAAATCAAATTTATATACTTAGATTAATGGGTATATTATTAATTTATCTTTGACATTGAAATTGTTAATTGTAACTTGATTACTAATTGGAATTCACCTTATCCTACCCTTTGCATTTCGATACTTTTTGGGATTATGTATATCCACCATAAAATTTATGTTAATTTATAAACATATACGTTATCATAATATTTTCGTTATGTTCATAATTGCTGTTCAGAGTATATGACATTTATATTGTTTGTAATAATAAGTAATACATAAAATCATGGTTAGTCTGTGTGAGAATGCATAAAAGACGTTTAAAAGTATAAAATAATACTACGTTATGACAAAAAGATCAAGAGGTGCCAAACCTTTGTCTATTTTGGTATCTCCACACAAATTTATGAAGAAATATATATTTATATAGTAGAATATCGGATCCTTCCAATGCCTTTTTAACTCATCAGGCTTATATGATTAACATATCTGTAAACTTTGTTTATCGCAAGTCCTCACGTTTTTTGATATTAAGATATCTATTTATCTGAATAAATAAGGACATGAAACTTTAAATATATTAAACCGGAACAAAGTTTCAAAAAATTGAGTATATTGTTAAATATATGCTAAAAATGTAAAATTCTTAAAAGGAATAATTGTTTTATTTTAACAAACTTTATGTACATTTTTATACTTTATGTATAACTTTATATAAAACATCACTTTATGATACGCGTATCATTGTTATTTATCTTGTTAGTCATCATTATAGTATACATGATGAATTTTGCACTTTTAGCATACGCTTTATTTATAATAAAGTTATAGACTGATTATGTGACCGTGCTTATATTTAAAACTTCTGTGATCGCGCGTTAAAGATAAAGAATAAAAATCAACTAGAATTCAAACGGTTTCAACTGCGTTTCTATTTACATTCTTGACTAAGTAAGTTACATATGCTGATATTATTTTATAATTTGTACCGTGAGCTTATAATAGCCATATAAGTAAACTAACGCTAATTCAAGACTTATATAGAAAGTGAATGGTAGAAAAATTGTTAGCACTAGTTATGCATAGATTTATGTTTCTAAATAGCTCAGAGTTACCACTTTTAATTCATTATTAGTTATAAAAATATACTTGGCACCACGTTGAGGAAATATAAAGTATACATCGTGAAAAGCAGATAATCTCCGTGTCATAGTTATAATTTAATATTTAATTATAAATATGTCGCCTAAATAGAAAATTGTCCGTAGTTCAAGTAATGTAAATAAAGTGCATACAAATAACTACACGGTATAGTTACTTATATAAAAAATGTTGTCATACACTAATGAAATACTAACATAATAAATGCATTATGTGTATCTCACAGTAATTACAAATACGATGAATTTAAACAATTATTCCTGTGTAGCTCTATCTAGTAATTTGTCGGCCAATTCACGGAACTGTTCCGACGCTTCACAATGTTCCAATAATAATGGACTGAACTTCTCTTCGCCATAGAAAGCACCCGCTATTGCACCAGTCATACTAGCAACTGTGTCTGTATCACCGCCTAGAGTAATCTATAAAATAGATAAACAACATATATTAAACAATATCAATAGTACTTTTGTTTCTTTTCATGCAAGATTTATAATTTATGCGATATTATGTAGAGTTTCCAATTGAACTTATAACTTACAGCATATTGAATAGCTCTTCTGAGAGGATTGTCTGTTTTTATACCTTTGATAGGTCTTTGTGCCCTTAGGAAACAAAAGATTGCGGTAGGAACAGAGTACAAAGCATTGAGACCAACTCCCAAGGTCTGAACTACTTTTTCGTCATGGGGACAATCACTATCCTCAGAAATCAATTCCTTTATTGTGCACAATTGATCCTTATAGAGCCCCTCGTCTAATTCTAAACTGTTGAAAAGATACATTTATATATTGTTGCTGATATATTCATTCAAATGCAATAATATCAGAATGTCACACGTACTAATCTTCTGTTTGATCAACTTCAATTTTATCCATTTTGTCAATGAGATTGTCAACAAAACTAGAAACATTTAATTCTTCATTGGGATTTAAGTTTATACTTTGTTGAACTGCTAAAGCCTATGAAATCAATAAATTTATGAGATAAACATCTAGTCATGAGAAATACAAGTATTCTTTTATTAATGAACATCAATTTGAAATTACTTGTAAAATAGCACCGTTTATTCCCCACTTATGCGTATGTGTAATTTCGGTTTCCTTCTTAACATAATCTATGAGTTTGTTATGGTCGTTGTAACAAAATAAAGACAGAGGAGCAACTCTCATTGCTCCACCATTACCAAATGAACCTAAACCATTATATTGCTCTTTTGCTGGACTAATTGTATCTGTTAATTTGTTAGCTTGTAATTTCTGAAATACCTATGTGTGACCAGAAAATTACCATTTTTTGTTATTATGAGTTATAACTATTAGACAAATTATAGTTACAACAGTAGAGTGAATCTCACAATATGTATACATGTTTTGCATTTGTAGAAAAATTTGTATTTAATAATATATTGAGAAAAAATTTAAATATATATAACAATGTATACTTATGGTTTAGCTATATTGTATTATTTCTTTACAGTACACAACTGAATTAAAACGATTATGTAGAATACTAACAGTTACAACACTGATACCGTAACCACGAGAGGGATCTTGATAATAACTTTTCACAAATCGTCTTGCTACATCAACAATATCCAGAGATTTTCTGTCAACCAATGACTCAGCTAAAGATTGTGTCATTGCTGAGTCAACTGTAAACTGCATAACCGGCGCTATATAGTTAAAAAAGTTATCCATGTCAGAAATGAGACTTATTGAACGAACAAAGATACAAGACACACATATGTAGACTTCTATACACTCATAGGTAGTAAGACACTGTAAACTGTAACCGCGAATAATATTCAAATTCGTTATTTAAAACCCGTGAAATTACGTGCAAAAGAAAAAAGAGAAAAAACAGAAGCAAATTGTTAACCTCCAAACCTTTAAATTCCGTTCTCTCCAATTTGTCAAAAGACTGTTGTAAGACAGTTTTCATGTCGGGTGTCAAAGTCTCCTCGCCTTCGTACGGACTTCCAACGCAATCGCCGACCAAAACACCCAGCATTGAGCCGCGAAATTTACTTCTCAATAAAGCCAACTCCATTTTTATTATTCTCATATGAAGATGTAACCTATAAATGCTTTGCAGGCACCATCTTCGGTTTCGTCCGTTCGGAGTTGAAAATAAATCACAACGCTTATTGCCGCACGTTTCTACCACAGTATAGTGTTATTGATAAGTAGATATATACTGCACGTTCAATTGCCACCGATCTTACATAGACGAAATAATTTCGCGCTCGACGAGATATATCTCACGTGATTCTACGACTTCGCATACGGTTTTAGGTTGTGTTTGACAGGAATCTTGAAAAACCAGCTTCTTTGATAAAGGATCTGTTCTTTATAGCTGCACTACTGAACTAGTGCAATAAGTTAAAATGAGACAACTATATTTTTTCTCATTCTAATTTATTGCACTAGTTCAGTAGTGCAGCTATAAAGAACAGACCCAAAGACATAAACTACATTTACACAGCAAGTAAATTCTTTGATCCGATTGGTATATTTTTTTAGATCTAAAAATATATTCTAATCGGATTTGAAACTGCACTAACTATGGTAGTTACTAGTCCGGATTAACCTTGCCGTGTAAACGTAGTTGGTGGCTATAATTAAATCAGTAATGAAGTCTCTTACGTTAAATTTAAGTGTCCTTGTTTGCCGAACAATTTTGACATCGATGATATATTACTAAAGATCGATTATTCTATGGAAATTTAAAACATGATTGCTAATGTTTGCAAAGTTACTCTGCAATGTAGATTGCAACTTTACGATTCCTTATGACATGTTTCATTATGACATTGTATATATGTACTTTCATAATATGCTGCGTTTTCCCGAGATTATCAGCTGTTTGAATTTGCGTGCGCATGTGCTGCATCGACCTCAACGATACTTTGAGAGTCACGGGGTCTGTTCTTTATAGCTGCACTGTTGAACTAGTGCAATAAGTTTGAGTGAGAAAAGATATAGTTGTCTCATTTTAACTTATTGCACTAGTTCAGCAGTGCAGCTATAAAGAACAGACCCATTATTGCAGTTGCATGCAGTTACATTCCAGGTTTGTTTTTTATTGCTGAACTGGCTGCACTAACTTGCACTTATTTTCTTCTTCTCTCCCTTTCACTAACTACTAGATGTATATTTATTTCTTTTTATGTTCCTTGAATGTACAGTAGTTCAGCGATAAAAAACAGACCTATGGATCGCGGCAAGGCAGCTCGCAATTGAAAATTCGCTCCATCTTTTCGGCATTCCGGGGGGTCAAGGATAAGTTTTGCTTGCGAATTGTCGTTGTGAATACCGAGAGTATGTTCTGTGCATTTAAGGTGACAAGGTATCGCTGAACAATGATCGCAAAAATGACATTTCGCGGTCAGGAAAACCGAGTAGTATTATACATTCGTCGAACTTTCAATTAGTTCGCATTTGAAATTTTCGGCAAGTCGAAATTTTGATGTTGATAGTATATATTATTTATTAAAAATTAGCGCGCATATTATCACCAAAATTGCTAAGAGTAAATTTGGTACATTTATTATCAGAAAATATACGTCAAAGATGAATATGAGATATCAAGAAAGAAATATTAAGAGTGTTTATTATTATGGTAAAATAATTGATCGTAACTTACATCGAGTATGCTTCGAAATTTGCGAGTTTCGAGAATTTCAATACCGCCATATTATTATTCAAGAAAAAAATCTCTTCGTTGTCGTCGGACGTGCCGAAAAGCATTTTCATACATTTGCCACAGTAAAATATGAAATACACTTAAATAAATCGTCAAACGTGCGAAAACTCTTGGAAATAAGCTTGGGAATAATCGAGAGTGCTAAATGAAGTTTTACGCATTTATCGCATTATTCGATGTTCAAATTCGATGTTCGCAGAATAAGAACTTTACACGCAAATTTGGAATACGAAGCAAGCTCCAGGTGCTTTTTCTTGCAGCAAAATATTATTAAATAGCTATGGAAAGTGAATATTATGTGGAACAGGATCATGAGAAATGTATCGGAGAAGAGATAGTACACGTTCCTTACATTGTAGCAGCATAAGATGGCATAAGATATTTTGAAGTCGTCCTGGATGTGTTTTGAACGTCCTGAGGCACTCCTCTTTAGATATTTCGAATAATATGTAATAAGGATGATGCTGGAATATTTCATGCTACTGAGGAGTCCAAGGCTCATATTATTTTTGGGTCGCTATGCTTTCAACTCGCTGAAGCAAAAGTGAATAAATAAGTTTTTCCCGTTTTATTTTTATTATAAAATCTTCATAATAAAATTTTCTCTGCATAAAGCTAACTCAGAGTATCGTAAAACAATGCTGTATTCTCGATTGATCTGGGTGACAGTCTGCTCCATTAGAAACATGGTCAAGGATTTCATTCGTTTTCGAAACAGGCTTATTGCCAGAAAGATACGAAATTACAAATTGGATTAGAGAGTGTCAACAATTTGATCGCTTCGTCATAAGTAATTTGCGTGATCGCTGTTTTTACGCCGATAGAGTGCGCATACTTATGGCTGCTTAATGGGCGATTAATTGATTCCACGTTAAAGTCGCGGCTGAACTTAAAGAGGAAGCGACAGTTAGTCGGGTCGCTTGCCCTCGACGCAATCTCCTCTGAATTAATGCATCTGCAAGATTAACTTTTCGAACAGCAGATTCGTCACAACGGATAACGCAATTTATTCCCGTTACTGTGCTTATCCACGCAACGGTTTCATAAACTTCGATTAATGAGGCTCTTTGCGTCCCTTTAGCGGAATTACCACTTACCAAAATTGTACAGCTTTTGTCATTTTCGCGCAATTATATTGTACTCGTGCAATGGAATAATGTTGATTCGTGCATGGCAATTTATACTTTGTCATAAATTCCAACAAATCGCTCGTACTTATCTTCCTCCTTTCTCGTTCGCCTTTCTTTTTAACCTACTACCTCCTCTCATCCGTCACTGGAACGAAGAACATCATCGCTGTGTACAACAATACCTGCCTGCTTAATCATTGATCGCACCATGAGCACATGTGCACAGAAATCCCGTGAGCAAGTGCTTTACGCAACACGCGAGGGTGCCCCTCGCCCTCATCTCCCTAGCCACAAGCTCACGCAGTACCTTCAAGCGGCTTAAGGGTAGTTCGCCGGCGCGCCAAAGTGATCGGCGGTTCAGCGCACCGCCGCCGTCTTGCGATTGGTCGAAGCGCGCGGCCAATCAGCGGCGGCGTTTAGGTGCGCTCTACCCGGGCAATCAGTGTACTGCCGGTCGCGCACTAGCTTGGGTGATTTTGATCTCGATGTCGCATCGGGCTCGCGTCGGTTGCCGTGCTTGCAACCCTTAACGCGAAGCAGCCAGTGTCTCGCGAGAGTTCGGGACACATTGTTCGCGTTCGCTCGTTCGCTCGCTCGTTCTCCCTTTCGTATTCTTACTTTTCTCCAGTCTTTCGGCGGACACGATGATCGTCTGGGCTCGTTGATGTTAAGGGCGGGCGCGACGATACGAAGCATCGTGCGAGATCATGTTATGGAGAACGGCGGCAAGTTGACATCCTCGCGTCTCGTCGCCGCCGCGCTGTCTCCCTGCACGACGGTAAAAGGGTCATCAACCGCATCGCCGAGTGGCCCGTGTGATCCACCTGCTCGAATCGATAGCCAACGTCGTCGCCGTCGCCGCCGCCGCCGCCGCCGCTAATGCAGCTGCCACCGCTGCCGCGTGCGAGCCGCTGCTTCTTGCTCTCGGGACCGTCGCCGCGATCTTGTCGCGCGGACCAAGCAGCAGACTCGCGATAGGATCCTCGCACCTACGTACGACATACGTTTCACTCCTTTCCCTTGCCTGCTCGCATCTCCCTATCTGCTGCTGCTTGGCGCTCCGAAGTGAAGCTTTCTATGATAAGGAGAATCGCGCTTATGAGTCCATCACGACGATCGCCCTTTATCGTGGATCGCAGTGCTGTATTGCGAGCGTGTCTCCCTCGTTAACAGGTGACTTTTCGATTTCTTATTGGGAACACGGTTGTTAGTGATAGTGGTAGTAGCAGTAGTAGTAGTAATGGGAGGAAGGTAGTACTTGTGTACGTGCGTCATGAGGAAAGCACTCAATAACGGAGGCGTTTGCAATCACGTTTCTCGCTACATTATTGCGAAACGAGAGATTCTTTTCGGAGTGATGTTCCGTTCTGTAGTACTTAAATGTCTAAACAGCAGTCTCACTTTTCTTGATATGCGATAATATATATCCCATATAGCACAGAAAGTTATAGCAATATTGCTGCAACGTTGCAACAGTGTTGCAATACTGCAGCAACATTGTAACAATATTGCTGCAACTTTTGTGCTATATGGGATTACGCGTGGTTTTGGATACTTCACTGAGACGAGAATCATTTGCTTAATTAGAAAATAGAGTAACATAGTTAATAGGATGTGTTGCGAAAAAATATGGTGAAATTGTGACACGGAAAATTCAGAGAGAAAAAAAAGGAATGAGAGAGAAAGGAAGAGAAAGCGTAAATGATGAAAACATTATTTTTGACACGGGGATAGATTTAATGTTCTCAACATTTTTCTGAAATATTGATTTAAATAATTGAACGTCGTGTAATATTTTTCTCGTGCCATTAACGACTTGACGGATCTGACAAAGAGAGCTTTTATTTATATATTATGCAATATGTACTCTTTCTCTCTCTCTCTCTCTCTCTCTCTCTCTCTCTCTCTCTCTTTCTCTCGATGACCTTACGCAATAATCGTGATATAAATATTTTGACATTAATCTTTAACATTTTCCATATATCCGCACCTGGTCAGCGTTGGTAGAGGCAAGTTTGCGCATGGAAAATTTGCCCCGCCAATTCCCCTCGGGGTGATTTTATCAGTGCTGTCCTTTGCTGAGTTTTGCCGTTGGTTGACCTCTTTTGACCTTGTTAATATGTGCGATATACTGACTGCGCGTTGTTTTATGTTTCTTGAACATATAATATACATCGTCAATGTGACGACGCATTTAGACGTCGAATAATTCAAAACTATCAAGATGAATACGCCAATCAGAGTGCGCTTTAAAGGTCGTGTGCAATAATTCGAAAGTAGTTAAATATTCTTTTCACAGTCGTACACGTTGCTTCGTTCTTTTATGACTCTAGCAGCCGCTAGTATTAACTGCAGTTCCTACAATTGCGACAAAACTGCTTTCACTTATAGATGTTGGCAACACTAATTTTCTGAAATTTAAGTCGGATTCCCATTGCGTTTTTGTTCAATGTAAAACTGACAACTGTCGAATTACGACAAAACAAGTTATTCCTCTTAAGCATATATATTTCTTTTTATTGTTTGAAATAAATATTTGTTATAACTACACAATATATGTTCAATATATTAGGTTGGTCGGAAAGTAATTTCGGTTTTTTGCATGAAAATGAAAGACGATATTTCTAATAGAAAGAAAAGTTTTATTCTATTAAGTATTGACCATTTTGTTCTAACTCCTTTTACTATCTTTGAGGTAATAACATGATTCCACGCTCGTACAACTTTTGGTCTTTATTGGCAAAAAACTGAATTAAGTGGTTTTTGATACCTTCATTGAATCGAAATTTTTACCATTCAAAGAATTTTGCGGTGATCGAAACAAATGATAATCGGATGGTGCCAGATCAGGTGAATATGGTGGATGCGGCAGCAAATTCCATCCAAGCGTTAACAGCTTCTGGCGAGTCATTAAACTTATGTGAGGTCTGGCGTTATAATGAAACACAACATTTATTCTATTCGCCAATTCTGGTCTCTTCTGCTTGATGGAATCATTCAATTTGTCCAATTGATGACAATACACATTCGAATCAATCGTTTGGTTGTTCGGTAGTAACTCAAAAAGAACCATTCCTTTCCAGTCCCACTAAACAGAGAGCATCGCCTTCTTTTGATGGATATCAGCTTTCGATGTACTTTGAGCCGGTTCATCACGTCTGCTCCATGATCTTTTGCGTTTAATATTGTTGTACACAATCCATTTTTCATCTCCAGTTATGAGTCGCTTCAGAAATGGATCGTTTTCTTTACGTTTCAACAGTAAATCGCAGATAGTAATGCGACGAATCAAATCTCTTTCTTTGAGAATGTGTGGAACCCAAATATCGAGCTTTGAAACAAAATCAAATTGTTTCAAATGTTCATGCACGATCGAATTCGATAAATTCAATCTCTCAGCAATTTCTCGTGTTGTTAAATGATAATTTACGTTCACCAATGCCTTTATTTCATCTTCATCAGCCTTCTAGAACGTGATGCATCTTTCAGGTCGAAATTTCCAGAATAAAGTTTCGAAAACCAATTCTGACACTGGCGTTCAGTCAACACATCTTCTCCATACACGGCACACAATTTTTTTCTTGCTTACGCTGTATTTTTGCCTTTATGGTAATAAAAAAAGTAAAATGTGACGATAATGCTCACGTTAGTTTTCGATTTTTGATGCGACACCAAGCAAAAACAACTTGATAGATTCCAAAACAACTTGTTTTCAAATGAAGCTTGAAATGTGCGTTGTAAAAATGTAAAATGATTTTTTGGTTTAGAATGAGGTTAACTGTTTAAAAAGGCGACTAATACCATCTGTTTAAAGAAAAACCGAAATTACTTTCCGGACAATCCAATATTGTCTCAAATATATCAAATTTTACTTCTCTCTTGTTATTTAAATTGTGTATTTGAAACTTGCGCCAATTCGCCACGTGGATTAGGTCAACCAATCAAAAAATCATCATCTCGAAGTCGCGATTCTTATTGTAGTAACTCTAATGCGATTCTTATAATCTGCAATTTGCTCGCTTTACACTTACGCCCCTGGTTATTAGTAAATTTCGGAGATAAACGTGCCCCGCATCAATTCTCAAAGTTTTGGCATAGTAACCTTCCGGGAAATCTGAGTCATTGATTTTTACCGCCTGCGATATTTGGTTGTCTTTGCCGGGCTATTTTTGCGTTCTTCGCGAAGCTGACCCCGAAATCTAGATCTAAAACGCATAGCTTCAACAGGAGAAAAAGGGAGGGAAGGAGATAGAGCACGCCCGTCTTACTAATAGTGATTAATAGCGCTTATGCACGCTACTGTCAAACGAGAACGGGTTGATCTTAGGATCACGAAGAACTCCGAGTACTGTGAACGTATATATCAGATACCCCTCCCGCCTCTCCCCCGCCACGTGTGTGAGAGTTCATCTTTATTCTCAATATCTCCCGTTTTCGCGGGACTCATGCCAAGTGTGGAAATCAGGCGATACAGATGTAAATACAAACAACATAATTGATTAGTTATCCTATTGTGTATCGCCATTAGAGTTTCCAATCCCGGGATACCGGCTAAATTTTTGTTCCCGAAAATACTCGGGATTCAACATCACAAATCCCGGGATTTCGGGATTTCAAAATTTAATGCTTAGTATCTATATAATACTTACGTTTTACAAAAATTTTACTTTTATAATTATTACTTATTACTGATGTTTTAGAGCATTTACTAGAGAAGTGTGTATTTATATTTTAAATTTAATTCCATGTATTATTTTTATTTGTTTTAAATATTAAGGGAGTTTTCTATTTTAAATTTCGCGGATAAACTGGCACAACACAGACTTGAATCCGGGATCCTCGATCAGATATTTTTTAACAAAATTTATGTTTTATTATTTTTAAAGTTACTTTTTCAATGTGAAAAAGAAGAAATCATTATTTTTATTTTTATTACAAAAACTTTAATTTTTAATTGTAACGGTTTTTGTACAATCATTAATGTAAGTTGTTTTCATTTTTACTGAAATTTTACTTTTTGTTTGTCATAATGTTCATAAAAGTCTATGAACGTTCTATAAATAAAATAATTCTATTATTTGTAAATATTCCTTGTTTCTTTCTTTACATATATATAATCCCGGGACTAGTCCCGGGATCCCGGGATGGAATCTAAAAAATCCCGAAATCCCGGGATCCTAAATTGTATCCGGGATTGGAAACTCTAATCGCCATCAACTTGCGCGATTATTCGTTTGTAACATTTCCAGAACTTTGCATAAACGCGAGATAGCTTCTTTGCTATGAACGGAAATAATTTCAATTCCGCGCGAGCAATCGAGCTCGGCAAGAACCATCGTAATCGCTTATTTCACTGCGGCAGTTGAATGGATTTTGAAAAAAGAAAAAAAGAAGAAAAAAACGGGGCTCGGCAGGGTGGACTGTCGCTCCGAAAAAGAATCTCTTCGCACGCGCGAGTTTTCATTGAAGTCGCGAATGCTAATTAACCGACGTGTCGTCGCTTCGGTGAAAATCCGTATGTGCTTTCGCATTCGCTGCGCGAGCACGCACGCACACTCCGACGTTCGGCTTAGTACAGAGGCGGAATTAATTACCCGACGGCCGGAGCGCATATCGAAATAATCAATAACGCGTAGCATGTAATTAGAACGTTAAAAATACCGCGCTTTACATTACACACCCCGTTATTAATCGAACGCGCGCGCGAGCGAGCTAGCTGCTAGCGTTTGTGCCGCTCTCGCCGGTGTGTACGCCGTGTATTGTGTGGCTCTCGTATGAGCGAGGGGTTCACGCGGCGCGAACATTTTGTGTGCAGTGTTCGCTCGAGTTTCTCGACGCTGCCGTGCGTCGTCGTCTCGGCCACGAGAGAGCGCGAGATCAACGGGGGAAGGTAATAAAATAGTAAGGAAACGGCTGTGTTGCGGCGTTTCGCGTCGCTTCGTCTGACTGGTGTAGCGTCCCGTCGCGTCGGTTGGACAGAGAAAATCTGAGGAAGACATCGGAATGAGAGCGACGTGCATGATGAAAATGACGCCGGGAAACACGTCGGCTATGGTGTGACTTCGCGGACACCGTGTATAAAAAGAACACGGGAAGCCGAGAAAGTGCGACGAGGGGGAGGCGGAGGCTGAGTGAGAATAAGAGAGAGAGGAGAGAGGAGGGAGCGTCGCGTCGTTGTAGCTTTTTGACAATTTAGCGGCGGCGGGAACAAAGGTCATGGCAACGCCGCCAGACTCACCGGGACCGGAAGAGGCCTTCTTCGACTTCGAGAGTACGAGGGCGAGGCAGCAGACCACCAGGCCGGTGCCTATAGAAGAGCTTCTCCGACAGACCAAGTTCTCCCGCCAGGAGATACGAGTTATGTATCGAGGCTTCAAGCAGGTACGTTCCTCTTGACCTATCAGTTCGTTATCGATTTTTCCTGCGATTGCTCAAATTGCGGATACTAAGCCGCGGCGAGCGGAAGCGTTCGCGCTCCTTGTATTTTACCTGGCTTTTTATCGTGCTTATCAAGGAGCTCCGCCTCCCACCAGGAATTTCTCACGATTGTTTTTCTGTATAATATCTACGGCTGAACCTCTCGCGTAAAAAGATTTTTCAGTATTTTCAATATTTTCCATGACGCATAGATTCCGATTGGAAGTCTCAAATTTACCTGAAAATTAGTTATTTAGCTACGACATCAATTGGGGATCCCATTCTTGTCTTAAGAATGGCTTTTTTATTTGGAATCGAAATAGAAATATTATGGGAACTCGCGCCTTTCTCAGTCGATAATGTCGATGCTCTCTTATGGAATAAAAAGTAATAAGGAATCCTATTTTTATACTATTATATTCGATAGAATAAAAAGTCAAAAAAAAAAAAATTCTAATGTAAAGTAAAGAGTATAAGAAATATTGGGAAAATTTAAGATTTCTGAAACATCATACTTATTTATTAAATTTCAAATACACACATACACTTGACATACACATACACATACAACTGCAAAAGTGCATACACATACACACTTGAAACATTATACTTCTAACACTTAAACTTGCGTAGATTTTGATAAATCGGATTAGATTCTTATTCAGATTCCAAGAAATTTTCTACGCAGGTTAATTGTGCGTTCGTTTGCAATGCACCGTTAACAGATTATAATCGTCCTTAGGTTTACAAACATGGTTCATGTAGAATTCTTCAGTTCGTTCGAAATACGCGACGACGTAGTTGACATTAAGATCTAAGGAAATACACTCCAAAATAAAGACTTTAAAGGAAGCGGAAGCTGCTTGATAATATTTTATTCGTTTGAAATATTAAAAAAGAATATTTAGAAGGAGTGTACATTTCCATTTCTTATTACTTATGAACGCACCGTTGAATAACGGATAAAACATTTCTCGAGTTCACTATGCACAAGGTATCCGTCACAATATACGAGTTTTGTCGACATCCTGTATATGGGGTGTCCCATTTTAAAAGTTCCAGGTCGCCAAAGCAAATATTTCGAAAAATATGGAAGATATGAAAAAATGTTCTAGATAAAGGCTGTATGGTTTTAAGGGGGATAAAAAATAACTGTGTCATTTTGTTTACAGATGGCGGCATTTTCGAGACACTGACTAATCATTACTTTTTTTTTAATGGAAACTCTAATTTTTCATTATATTGTCTTTTTCTACCTATTAATTTGAACAACTTTTGTCTGAAACATTTTTTTATTTGACTAATATTTTTTGAGATATTTAAGGAAAACTTGGTAATTTTTTCAATATTTAGCTTACGATATTTCGCTAACTATTTGTCGGAAGAAAAAATAATACTAGATGTTTTTATTCTATTTTACTCTATTTGGTCTCAAGAATATGTTGTTACAATAGTACCCTAACTTTTATTAACTTTTGGAAATTTCAAAATCATCAAATTTAAATATTCAATCTTCAAGTATTTACATTAAAATGGCGCCATCTGTAAACAAACTGACATAGTTATTTTATATTCATCTTGAAACTATACAACTTTTGTCTGAAACATTTTTCCATATCTATCATATTTTTTGAGATATTTCCCTGGGGCATTTAAAATAGGACACCTTGTATATAATTTTTGCCTCATCATGCGCTACCGAAGATAATTAAGTGCAGTTCGAACAAAACTTCGGAATCTGTCGTTTTTGCACTCGAATTTTACATTTCGTCGCATTTCGAGAGTTTTATATATCGTTTTATTGTTGCAAATTTATAGTGATGAGTGCGCGCGTCGGCTGATGAAACAGCTCTCGTATTTGTAGTTTCTACTCCTTCTTTATTAAAGATAATCTTGCAAAATATTTATTATTCATCGACAGCCGATCGACAGCCGATAAAAATTGCCTTAACACAGTTACATAAATGAATGGATTATAGCGCCGCTGAGCGAACGATCATCGATAAAAAGCATTTTCTTCCCATCGATTTGCCGCGTCATCATTCCGGCTCTTATATTCCCCGAATTTCATCCGCGATCGGCAATTTTTCACGTCTGAGTTATAATGCATACGTAATGTGCGGAAAAGTCCGTTGCTTATCACAATTGGGGAGGTGACCTTCTTTCGACGACGATTTTCAAGCTGCGTGTGAATCATATGTGCGCTGGCGCGATTTTTGTTCCATGTTCTTTTTAAACATGATTTTAACGTAGCAACATGCAAGGGTAGAGCAATAAAAACAACAAGCGTATAAATTGCGACGATAATGTGGAAATGGCTGTAGTGAACGTGAAATTTTCATATATATCGATCCGTAAAAACTTTCGAATGTGTGTCTTGTTACACAGAAAAGAGTAGCGACGGGATAGTCTGCAGGAGATATAACGAAAATGACGACAGAAACTTCATATTAAACAAAAGACCTGTTCATTTATCTAGGATTAGGTTCGATCGGTATCGTATATCCAATATACTCTTTTATGAGTAAAGTCAAGGTGGCATCAATGGATCAGGAGTACACAGTGAATATTTCGTTTTTTTGAGTGGAAGACATGAACTGATATTGCTCTTTTTTTTTTTATAAAGCATATCCGGCGTGGAAACTCGCATTAATTTATTACGCGCGTACGCGACGAACACGCGTTTCAGGAGACAATTTTGTGTTTTTCCACATCAAAATTTTTATCTAAGGTAAGACTTTTTTGTCTATTTTTTCGGGTCAGAAGTATTTAATAACAATTTTTCTTTTTTTCTATTTCTAATTTATGTTTATTCATAGTCATTTTATCATAACGATTAGTAAATAAGGTCATGGTTTGACAGTTTTACAGTTTGAAAAAAAAAGGAGGGTGAGTAAACAGTGGATCAACGGCTTCCAGTACACAGTGGATCTCAATCCACCGTGTACCCGAGTCGGAATTTTGATCCTACTTTCGATTTCAATATTACATGTAATGCTTACTTTGATGCTATGAAACCTGTATGAATCTATTTGAATTCTACCTACTATACTTAACTATAGCTTTTTCGAGTTCTATTTTACCGACAGTTCTTACTTAAAGCCTGCAAATTCTCTGTTCGTCATTGTTTGTTACCGACCGCGGCCGGCTTGACAACGTATTCGGCCATTAATCGAGAAAATTGAGCCGGAATATAATAGTGACCGACACACCAGAAGAAAAGAAATAGAAATGCAAAGAGCAGCTACCAAACGAAAAACAGAATGTAAGACAAGACAATCAGTAAAAAGAAGACTTACAATGACTGAAACGACGAAACAGAAGTAACTTTGCAAGACAGTAATCATACTATTATTTTTTGATAAATTTTGTTTTGCTGAATTCGTTGAAAATTCTTTATTTTTCTTCGTTCATTTAAGTAAACGCAGTTTACTGTCTTTTTTATTTAACTTAATTATTAGTTAACTAGTAATGTTTTATTATCTTAATTTTTTTGTACTTTACAGTTTACAAGCTAATAATGCCTTAATTTCGATAATTTAATTTGAAATTTTTATTGGAAATTTTATTTTTTATTTTTAAGTCGATATGAATATGTTATATAAGGTAGAAGTACCTTAATTTCGAAAATGTAATTTGAAATTTTAATAAGAAATGTCCTGTTTTAGTTTTAAGTCGATATGAATGTGATGTGATATCGATATATGATATGATAAAGTTAGAAATGCCTTAATTTCGACAATTTAACTTTAAATTTTAACCCTTTAACTACTGAGATATTAAATGACCAGTATGATCCTCTTTGCTGAGTTATTTTTACAATTATAAAATATTTTATAATGATAAGAGATGGCACTATATGCCCGCTCAATTCAAATGTTTTTTATAAACTAAATTAAATGGGTATTATACATTGAAAGTCCAAATCGAGTAAACTCGATCGTAGCAAGGCCGCCATTTTTTTCTACACTCGAGTTATCTCGACCGTAGCAGTTAAAGGGTTAATTGGAAATGTTATTTTTTAGTTTTAAGTAGATATCAATATGTTTTATGATCATTATTTGCTGCTTGTAAGACTGAAGATTGTCAAAAGACTGACTTAATTTTAAACAAATAATATTATTTTCTTTGAAATTTGGGTCATTATTACCGGTATTTATATTTTGGTTTACTGTAGACAAAGGCAATTCACTGTATACTGCGGCATGATCCATTGTATACACCTCAGTGTACACAGTAGCTCTATTTCCTACTTTTTAAAAACAAGTTCTAATTTCGTTATAGTTCGCATTTGTAAGAAATTCTTTTACATAAAAAGAAAGTTTAATGTTTAAAGAATAATACTGATGTGTTTTGAACATTTTTGGACATTTATTTACGAAGACGTGATCTTTGGAAATTTAGGTGATTCACTGATGCCACCTTGACCCTACATTTTATGTCGCTTTATTGTCATATTTTATCGAGAATGATTCGATATGTTTGTAATAGATTTATCGGGATTTAATGGAAGGGATTGCAGTTCATATAATATAACATCAATAATACATAAGTGAATTATATTGGTTATATTAGTAAATTTCCAATTATTTTTATAGTTTAATTGTATTACTCAAAGTTTAATTAACCCTTTAAAAGCAATAATCAATTTAATCCAGTGAATTTGAATTAAGTAAAATCAAATAAGATAATATACAATGTCTGAGAAATTTTTGACCAACCAATTTGTACAGATAGAACAAATGAAATTGGATAATAAAGTCAATTTATTGTTATGGAAATTTTCCAAGAATCGCAATAGTTATTAAGTTATTAATTAAAACGTGTCATACTCTTCCGCGACAAAAAAATTAAGTTTTCTCCAGTACATCGATATTTAGCCCTATAGGCTAACGGGCTAAAATGCGCGTGCCACATCTATGCGGAACGATTTCTCGGGCGTGCACGACATTATCGAAAAAAGT